AGCAGGAGAAGCTGAGGGAGAAACTCTGTTTCTTGAGGCCTTACATAGTTCGCAGGAAAGGATATTCATCTCTGGTAAGTCTGCAAAGAGAAAAATACATTTCCTAAATATTAAAGAAGGTCCTTATCACAGTTTAAAGAAATAACAACATCAATCGGTGAGAAAATTGGGGGGGGGAGACGTTAAAGTTGCAGCAGCAAGTCCTTTATATTTAGAATAACTCAGAGGGCTGTGTCTAATGTGAAATTTTTGGAAGACTTCATGAGAATGATCAAGCATTTTTTTAGCATTTTACATTTTTGCCTTTAAATGTTTTAATATAGTTTTAAGGACTTTAACTGAAACACAGTCAACAGCAAAACTGATAAATGCAGCAGACGACCTCCCGCTGCATTGAACAGCAAATGAACATCGAAACCGGATAGTTTCTCAGATGGTGGAGCGCAAATATTCAATTCAAAATAAGTACTTAAGTTGTTCTGGGTCTGATGTGTTTGCAAAGCCATTTTATTTCTTTTAATATTAGAAAGAAACAACAAGATTCAGACTACCCTCTATGAGCAAGCACTTGGTGACAGTGGGGAGGAAAATGTCCTTTTTAACTGGAAGAACTGGGCTAAGGGAGGGGAGAGGGAGCTGGCTGAGGAGAAGGAGACAGGACAAAAGACGCACTGTGAAAGAGCGCCAGATATTAATAATAATTAATGATTAAATTCAAGGAGTTTTGAGGACATCCTGATAATAATGAGTCAAAATAGTAATGCCTGTAAGAATTAAATAACTGAACTAGTTTTTCAGGGTCAGATATAAAAACAATTTTGCAGCTTGTTCTTCTTCTCTCAAACGACTCATTTTCTGAAAGGCTGCTTGCAGGTAGGAAGAGGAAATTCTTTTCAACAAATCTGGCAGAAGAACGCTACCCAGGAGGGTTCGTTCCCAGTAGGCAGATGCTAGCAAGTCTACACGGCTTTGAATCATGAAACTTTGTGCAGAGGTTTTCACACAAGTCTCAGTTAGAGGTAATCAATGGTGCTGGGTATCGTCACTGATTTCTAGAATCGATCCGATTCACAAGGTCTCGAATCGAGGAATCGGGGGAAATTTTGCCCCAGTCAGAAATATTATAATTCAGATCATGCATCTGTACATTTCCATATTTTTATTTCTGTAAAAAGAAAGATGACACTTGCGAGACTTTATCAAAGGTGTAAGCATCACAGAAGATGCCTTTGTGTCAAAGTAACTGAGGATAAAACACAGAAAAACGTGAAGGCGACTTTCCTGGCCTGGGATTTTATAAAAATATTCTGTGTGCAGTAGATCAAAAACGAAAGAAAACCATTAATCAACATATGAACATTGCCTGATGCTGCTGAAGTGAAACAGAGCAAAGTTACAGAGGTTTTATTAGAGACACAGCTAAGAGTTTTGCAATTTTGCATAATTTTAAAAAGTTTAAACTTGTTCAGTAGCCTATTGAACAGCATAAAAGGAGGATACAGCTGGACAGCTCGGACTGATAGCTTGCTCCATAGCGACTGACGCTGTCATCATCACAGGGTAGCTTTATCTATATATCTATAAATCCTCTAAACTGCATGTTTTTTTTTTTTTGTTTGTTTGTTTTGTTTGCAGGCGGACAACTTTGTGGATCATAATGAGAAGGATGAAGAGGAGTTGAAGACTGAGGGGAACATTGATCAGGAGATGGGCAGCTCAGTAAGCAGCCAGCTGGATGCAGATGGAGGTGGCCAAGACTTGGATGAGCCCCAGTCTATGGACTCTGCCCCGAGCTTCGCCCCACTTCAGTGTCCACAGCCTCGGGTCACAGAGGTCGTGTCTCTGAGTTGTCCGCATCATCGCGATGAAGACAATCAACCTGTTAAAACGGCACCCAAACACGACGTCCTCAACCAGTTTGCTGAGGTCATGCTGGCTGACATGCGGCAGGTTGAAGACCCTGTGCTGCTTATGAGGCTCCGCAGAGACATCACAGACCTGGTGTTCAAAGCGGTGGAGGAGGACATGCGGAGGCGGTGTGTTCAAGCGCCATCCTCAGTGACTGGGAATGGCACGCAAAGCTGCTGCAATCCTCTGCAGCTGTATTCAAACATCTCCTGGAGCCAGAGGCTTCTGAGGAAGAGGAGGAACAAAGGGCATAGGACTGGAAGCAGGTCGCAGAGGCGGGAGGAGAATAGGAGGGTGTCCAGGAGTCAGTTAGCACCACCTGTCGATCCAGGGCAGTCAGCAGAGGGGTTGAGTGCAAACGGGCCTCAGGTTATTCTTCAGGTGTTTGAGATTAAAAAAGATGGGGAGCCAGATTTAGTAAAGATTGAAGATGAGCCTTTAGCCATGGACTGACTTGAGAGTCTGTCGGGGCAAGATGAGCAGGGTTTGGAGGGATGGAAGAGAAGGCTGTCGTTTATTTTCTAGTTTTTCTTTTATTTTTGGATCTTTCACCTCAGGGCCACCATAGCTAGAATTTAAACTAAAGACACATCTCTGCCTTTGCAAAGTAAATGTTTATAAGCCTGTAGTTGAACTTTTGGATGGTCTTCATTCAGAAAACTGAATAAGATGAGGAAATTAGCTTTAAACACAAGGCAGCTCTCTTTGTTACCCAGCTAAAAGAAGAAAAAAAAACTTGTCTGAATCTTGTTTGGATTTTCTGTTGTGAATAAAGAATCTCTTGTTTTCAGCCTTGTTGGCCCTTTTCTTTATGGATTAGTAACCTGTCCAGCTCTAAACACAGCTGTGATGGATTTATGAGGAAATATTTGCAGTTTCCCCCCCTGTCCTGCAGATGGAAGCATGGAGACCCACCACAGACCCTTTCCCAAAAATTCGAATATCATGGAAAAGTTTATTTTCATAATTCTATTCAAAACATTAAACTTTCATAGATTATAGATTCAGAGCCCACAACTTAAATGATTTCAAGTACTTCAAGTAGTGTTTATTTGTACATAATTTGGGCTCCCAGCTCATAAAACCCACGAAAACAGGATTTCAAAAAATTTGAATGCTGTGAAGACCTCACCATTAACGTCTCATTTTTTGCAGGAAAAAAAAAAGTGACTGAGTGAAGCGATTTAATGACACCTGGGGAAACCTGTGCAGGTGCTTTCAGGTTAGTAGATGAGTTATGTGTGAAACTCCGTTTAAAACATTCATGCCCTGTAAAATTTGGGCTGATGTCTTCACAGTATTCTAATTTTTTGAAATCCTGTTTTTGTGGGTTTTATGAGCTGGAAGCCCAAATTATGTACAAATAAGCACTTGAAATCGTTTAAGTTGTGGGCCCTGAATCTATAATCTATGAAAGTTTATTGTTTTGAATAGAATTATGGAAATAACCAAACTCTTCCATGATATCCTAATTATTTGGAAAGGATCTGTAAGTCACAGCTCCTCCTGAACTAACAGGACTGCAAATTAAACCCCAAATTTATGCTTATACTTTTTAAAAAGGCAAATTTCTACCTTAATCCTAAAACAGTATTTCAAGACTAATTTATTATTCCAGCATTTCCACCCTGCAAAATTAACATTAAAGAAATTTAATTTTTAAAATGTATTTATTTATTTTTTCTTAATAGCGTCTTCAGTCATTTGTGCATACATTCATTTCCATCAATGTATGCAAACTTCCTGCCACAAAAGAATATATCTTATTTGTTTATTTAAAAATAAATAATAAAATCAATTAAAAATTGTAAAAAAAAAACAAAAACTGAGAAAACGGGGAAAAAGTTTTTGGTGATTTATAAGTAAAGCTTGCTGATAATGTGTTTTAGTACCCTAACTGTAGTGCCTTAAATGTTTCATATTATTTAATGATTATTACTCCACACTTCAGTGTTGATTATCTTTATTTCATTATTTTTCCCGTGTTCAGGTGTCTTTTCTTTTAGGCATTATCTCGGTTGTTTTCACAGCACGCGGGGTCCTTTTTGATTTTCAGTCAGGCGCTGCGGGCCGCTATCTGTCTCTGTTCCACTGAGGGGTCCTGAGCGTCACTCACATACACACGTGTGCGCCGTGTTCTCGGTAACCATGGCGGACCTCCAGATGAAGCTTCTCCGAAAGAAGATCCAGAAGCGAAACGAGAAGGACAGAGAGCGCAAATTGCAGAAGAAGAAGCGGGAAGACGAAGTAACAGGAGAGGACGGAGAAGAAGGAGAAGATGGTGAGTGTTTGATAGCTAGGTAAACGCTGATGTCGCAGGCTAAGCTAACAGGTAGCGCTCTTCCCTGGTCCGTTTCTAACTTTTTTTACTCCAAGGTTTAAATCTGAGTTTGGGTTCACTGTAGCTGCGCATGCAGGTATATTTTCTCTGCTACACAACTGCATGCGCATTTCGCCGCATACTAGCTCAAAAGATTAGTATACAAAACAATTTAGCTAGCACTGTGCTAACCAGGCTTCCAGAGTTTTCCTTTGGGGTTTATTAGCAACAAACTTTGATCATACTTCCAGTGAGTCTGACGGTGAGCTCAAACGGCCTCCAGGAGGAGGTACCCAGAGAGCTAAAGAAGAAACAGAAGAAGAAGAAGAATCAGGAGGAGGAAGAGGGACCAGTGGAAGGGACCAGCACAGAGGAAACTCAGATGAAGAAGAAAGCGAAAAGGAAGCAGCTGGCTGAGGGTGCTGAACCTCCAGGTAAAAACAGAGCCCTTTATACGGGTAACACATTCAAGTTTACTTTGTTGGTGCTTCGGTTAATGTCCGTGTTCTGATTGAAGCCGTGAAAAAGAGCAAAACTGCAAAAGAAGAAGAAAATGGGGAGGAGGACACGGAGGAGGAAGAAGTAGCAGATGACAATGGAGATGCAGCTGCTGACAAACCACAAGAAGAGGAGGAGGAAGATGAGCCTGAGCTGCCGTGTGGACTCACAGGTACTGAGTGAATCAGGTTAATTGCATATGAGGCGGTTAACAGGAGAGGCCGGCTCTGCCGTGCTGCCTTCATGTGTTGCCCGGTCGCTGCTTCCATCGTGAGCCGGGTGTCAGCTGAGGCATACAGAAACTCTTACGGTGGTCTTTGTGGGCGGCGTCTTTAGTGACGCCTCTGACAGGAACGACTGTAAGGACACGCTGAATCAAACCGTATCTCTGCTCTGTTTATAATACACACTGGACACTTCCTTACACCTGTTCAGCTTGGGCTTGCTGATATGGAAGAAAAATTGTATCACAATTTTTACATCTTAGTCAATAACTATATCACAATATTATAATATAATAATTCAAATCACTAAAACCACTGTCAAGCTTAAAGATTCCTTTTTGCTCCTAAGTGAAGTTGAGGTTACTCTTGACTTGAATATTATTTATTTTCTACTGGAAAATGATAAATGTACTGTAAATGTGTTTTCAAATAAAATAAACAGTATTTATAAGAAACTAAAATCTTAATTCTGACCAGTCAAAAGCTTCAAGATTTATAGAAGAACACAAACAGAAGAGAAAATAATTTTTTCTTTGGTCAGTTTTAAGTGAATAGTAAATGGCCTGCATTTGTATAGCGCTTTACTCAGTCCCTAAGGACCCCAAAGCGCTTTACACTACATTCAGTCATTCACCCATTCACACACACATTCACACACTGGCAATGGCAAGCTACATTGTAGCCACAGCTGCCCTGGGGCGCACTGACAGAGGTGAGGCTGCCGGACACTGGCGCCACCGGGCCCTCTGACCACCACCAGTAGGCAAACATGGGGTTAGTATCTTGCCCAAGGATAATAATAGAGATATTAATTATTAAATGATAATAAAAAAAAATCTGCAAGGTCTTTCATTCGTACAGGGTAAAACAGCTTTAACTTGTTGGGAAACAATTTAAATCATTAGGCGGCAAACATTGTGTATTTGTAAATAAACAGCTTCTGGTGGAGATCCACTCCTGCCTTGTTCTGCATGTCCATCTGTTTTTTAAGGACTGAGCGTAGATTCTGGATCAGACTATGTTAATCTAATGACCTCTGAGTCACTTTGCCTTGTGACATGGGGCACCGTAATGCTGGAAATTGCACAGAATGTCACCAAATTGCTCCTGGATCACTGGAAGAAGTTGATCTTTGAGACTGTTTTTAGTCTGGTCAGTCAGCAAAACCTCACAACTGCTTTTATCTTATGTCTTTTTATGATGACATTCAAGTATTGTACTAAATACATTCGTGGCAGAAGCACTATAAACCTGTCCATAATCAAACCATGATGTAATGTGAAAAATCCACAATTCTCCGTCTGTTTCAGGGGCGTTCGAGGACACATCCTTTGCCTCTCTCGCCAGTATAGTTAGCGAGAACACGCTGAAGGGAGTGAAGGGCATGGGCTTCGAGCACATGACCGAGATCCAGCACAAAAGCATCCGCCCTCTGCTGGAGGGAAGGTGGGTTGGTTGTCCATTTAGACTCTGAGCTGCTCAGCCGAGGCGGCGGAATAACATGAAATCGTTTGCTCCACTCTGCAGGGATGTCCTGGCTGCGGCAAAGACAGGCAGCGGTAAAACTCTGGCCTTCCTCATTCCGTGCATCGAGCTCATCTACAAACTCAAGTTCATGCCCAGGAATGGTGAGCTGCCGTCTGAGTCTCCTCGTCTCCTGCTTAGCTTCATCCTCCTCTTTCTCACTCACTAACTCTGTAACTGCTCTCTTTCATCTCAGGCACCGGCGTCATCATCCTGTCTCCTACACGCGAGCTGGCCATGCAGACCTACGGCGTGCTGAAGGAGCTGATGACGCACCACGTGCACACTTATGGTCTGATCATGGGAGGGAGCAACCGCTCAGCTGAGGCCCAGAAGCTCGCCAACGGCGTCAACATCGTGGTAGCCACACCCGGACGCCTGCTGGACCACCTGCAGGTGAGCAGAAACAAAGTTCTCTGTTCTTCATTCTCATTTTTAATACTTTAAGAAGAACACCGTCTGAGTGGCTTGTTCCACATCTACAGAACACGTCCGGCTTCATGTACAAGAACCTGCAGTGTCTGATTATCGACGAGGCCGACCGGATCCTGGAGGTGGGCTTCGAGGAGGAGCTAAAGCAGATCATCAAACTGCTGCCGAGTATGTATCAGTGAAAGTATCAATAAACCCAATAGTGAGAAATTTATGAACATTGATTTGGTTGATGATTTGGCATAAAAAACTTAGTTCTTTGAAGAAGCGTTTTGATTTCCAAAGCAGCAAAGTAAAACCAACTCATGAGCATTTTTGTTCAGTCTAAACGTATTTAAATCATGGACCTTAGTGACATCAAACACTGTGGAATCAGTCCAGTTTAAAAAAAATGTTTCAGGTAGAGCCAATAATGTGTCATCATGACCTTTTGGCGTAACACCAATCGTAGTTTTGAGAGAGAGGTGCTGCTGCTTTTTACTCTGTGACTCTAAAAGAGGAAGTGAATCACATGTACGGTAAATAAAGAGAAATGTGGGGTTTCCTGTTTTTGTATTTAAAAAACTGACCACTAACCTGTGACATGAAGCAGCTTCCTGTTTTATAAAGACAGATGATTAGTTCCTGTTCATTAATCAGTCAGCAAAAAAAATCCAAAATACCCATTTTCAAAACTGTCTTTTCTTTCTGCACATCTTTTTGTATTGTAAATGTTTTATTCTCATTTCTTTGATGTGCCTTGGCTT